ACTAGCCAGTATAACACAGGAATGTGTACAAATTGACCTTGGCATGATCTGACATTTGATCGGCCGTGATTTAGTGTAATGTGACGCCAGGTGAGTCTCATGTGAAATGGGGCGTTCAACTGAACCCCCACCCCTCCCATGAATCCACCACTGAAGTCTGTCTGGTCTTGAATGAACTTACACTCAGTGTTGTCACAACACTCTCTGGCATACTGTTTCAACAGTTCACAACTCTCACTCCAAAAAAGTAACCAGGCATAAAACTTTGTTTGCATTCCTTCACATTACTGTTCCATTGCAGGTAGTCCATTAGAGAATTGTGTATAATACTCTCTAGTACGTACTGTATTTTACACACTATGCTGGCCAAATTCCCCAATCTGTAATTATTCATACAGTAGTGACTGTCCGTTTTGAATATAGCTCTCACATATGCTAATTTCCAGTCAATTAGTTCTACATGTAGTTAATACAGTACTGTACACTCTTCTGAGAACTCCATATACTGTAACAAAATGTTTCTTCAAAAGAAGGTAGGTTATTTGCATCCTCCCTTGCAAACACAGAGGCAAAGATTCCACTTTAGGCATCCACTTTGCCCTGGTCCAAGTCTACATACGATAACTACGATACACCCAATACTGTATCGTTAATTTTATTGGTCACCATCACCCCTATTAAAAGAGTAAATAGTCTTAAAATACTAATACTGTCAAAGAACACATAACGTACCTGCAAATATGATTTTAGTATAAGACTGGGTTATCACACTAGCAATCATCAGTGCCACAAAGGTCAGGGCTAGTGAATCTTGTATGAACCTCATGTACAAAGTGGGTCCCTTACCAACCCTTTTCAGAACTGGTTGTACCTAAAAATGAAACAGTAAGTATACCATACAATTTTACAAATAAATTAAATAAATAAATAAAAGATAATGAAAAAATCATGACATAAAATCGAAAAAAGACAAAAAAAACAAACAATATAACTTGATCTTCTTTGAAAAATGATGATAAAAAATTCTGTACTGTATACAGCTGCTCCTCGTCTTACGACGGGGTTAGGGACCCAAATCCAGGTCATAAGTAGAATTGGTCGTAAGTCGAAAATGCTTAAATAATACATAGAAAATCTAAAATGGATGTCTCGTTTTCTTCTCAGCACCACAAAACTTTCACTTTTAAACTTGCCAGCCATTTTAAAGTGAATTACAAACGAAAATTTTGTATATATATAAAATCACCAATGGAACAGAGACAAATAGTCCAGTACAGTACAGTACAGTACTGTATTATGATGTAATAATGATGTGCTTGAGGATGCTTACTCCTACCTTTCTTTTAAAAGTTTTATAAAATCCATTTTCGTGGAAGGTGTACGGGGAATTACGGGGTGTTAATATGTCATTAACATAATACTTGTGGAGCAAATTTTCAGCCGCTGTACCGATGTGAGCACTTTCAAAGGCCTCAGTGATGTCTGTTCCTTTAGTTGCCAAAAGCCAGTCCTGACCTATGGAAGTAATAAATATTTCATTACCTATCTTACTTACATGCTGCATAAACTGGAATCATAAGCTAAACATTTTAATAAGTTATCAATCGCAATGTTAAAATTACAGTAGTTCCCAAAATAAGTATTGTTACCCATGGGGTTGATGTGGTTCATGGTTTTGTGAGCAGTGTTAGTCCACTAGTTTTGGAATGGTTGATATACACTATTACTGACTTTGTGGATCAAATTATCTAGTAACCCTTTTTTGTAGAGAACTGCCAGAATTTAAGAATGACCAGTTAGATTGAAGTAGGGAAGATAGCCTAGATATATACTGTATAGCTAGATGGGTGGAGGGAAAAATTAAGAAGGAAGTAAAAGGGAGAGAAAGAAAGAGACGAGATATAGTTAGCTAGATGAATGGAGAGAAAAATAGATTTGGAAGTAGGAGAGAGAGAGAGAAGTAAGTGGGTAGAGGAGACAAGGAAATATCAGAAGAAATGTAAAAGAGGGATTATGTCCTGTCTATCCTTCATTGATACCAAAAATACTCTACCTGTACTTCTAAATGAAACTGAAGATGTGTGACATGACACCTTAAAATTCATCACATTTTTCATACTGATACTAATTCCACCTAAGAATTTAAGGTTTCTCCTTTAATATAAGAAATATTATATCCTAAGAAATAAGTGTACTGTACTAGCCATACCTCCAGGATGCTTCTCTATAAAATCAGTCATATCATATAACTTGTTGTGTATTCTCCAATATGGACCCACATCATCATCAATCCTCTTGCCATTCATCCATCCATGTGTTGTTTTGACGAGTTGATCACGACCAGTTGGGTAATGCAGGAAGCCTGTGTGTGATAACCAATTCTGATTCCCTTTGGATTTGTGGGAATCTTGCTTGAGGTCTTGTCGAGGTGCCATTTCCTGAAAGAGAAAATTACAATTAACTGTAAAGTATAAGATAAATTAAAGCAACATTACCACTGAAGGTGATGAAGGGTACAATTAATGCACTTGTAAGAATTGGATTGCTATTGTCGCTTTGTACGTGAAGAAATGAAATATTTACCCTACTTTCACATCCACAAAAAAATTTAAATTTCACCATGCAGCTTCCAGAAAGATGCTTCATTGGTACCAGATATCAAAGTAAGTACTTTCTGTTTAATATGTAAGGGGTCCAGATAAGGTTAGGTAGGTTTCTTTGGTTAATTAGGTTCTGTCCATTTTTTGTATATTTTTATTACTTACTATCATCCAAAGAACATCTGTGGAAAAAATGAACGAAATCAAACAGCGAGTTCTTGTGTTAGCCATCTACTCCAGGATTACCCACCCATTTCTTGGGCAAATGCTTTGTTTGGTAGATAATTAGTCCCCTAAGCTCACACTAGCAGCACTACTTTGTTTTTCTCGGTGGTAAAACAGTACTGCAGCCTGATCCACATTCTATGTTGTCATCCACTTTTTGTTTGTTACAGTGCAACAACTGAGCCGCTTGGTTCAAGCGTACTCTCAAGTCCACAAAAAAAGTAAACTTACACCATATCAAAGTGAATGCTTATATAGCCACTCAATTCTGGGCGGTTTCTCTCATGTCCACAAAAATTTTTAAATTACACAGTATCATAGTGAGTTCTTTCTGTTTAATATGCTGGGGGATCTGGGGGATGGAACCCCTCAGCTAGGAAGTTAGGTAGATTTCTTTGTTTAGGTTGGTGAGGTCTTCTAACAACGTTTTTGCCATACTTCTTTTTATCAACTAAGATTAGGTGGTAATTGTGCAGATTACAGCAACCAAAGAATTCAGGAAACTCACTTCCCTCTATCGATAGAACTACTTTTTCTATTATCAATTTCTTATATACACTTCCGTTGCAAATTTATAATAATGAAGTTATTGAATTTTAAAAAGAATAAAATCAGAGCACCTGTCCCGAACTCAGACTCTGACCCTGACTCGGCATAAGGTAAGAAATACTGTAACGGCTATTAATATTATTGTGAAGGCTGATCACACGACTCTGGGTTATTACTTAGAATATGGCCCTAGCCGGGGACGAAAGCACTGGGGGGGTGGGGGTAGATGAGGTTTAGTTTGGTTGTACTGGTATTGTATAATCCACAAATCACTTTGGGTTATTACCTAGGATATTCGTCCCCGGCTAGGGTTACTGGGTGGTTACGTAAGGTTTAGTTTGGTTGTATTGTATAATCCACAAATCACTCGTTTTTTGGCTCTCCACCACCCAAAACCCTGAATTCCCACGCTCTTCCCCAGTACAGCTCCTCCCCGACTTACGACTTACTCGACTTACGACCACCCGCACTTACAACCTGCCTCAGTCGTACCAAAATTTGGTCAAATTACGTATTATCAAGTCCTTAAGTCAGTACACAGACAAAATTTTCGTTTGTAATTCACTTTAAAATGGTTGGCAAGCTTAAAAGTGAGAGTTTTGTGGTGCTGAGAAGAAAAAGAGACACCCATTTTAGATTTTCTATGTATTATTTACATTTTCGACTTACGACCATTTCGACTTACAACCTGGATTTGGGTCCCTAACCCCGTTGTAAGTCGGGGAGGAGCTCAATTGTTATAGGAAGGGGGGGGGGGATAAATTACAAACGAGTGATTTCTGACAAAAACGAAGGTCAGATTTGAACAAGAAAGTCCATCAGAAAACCATTTTTTTTCAAATTCCATGGTTGCTGTAATATGCATATTTATCGATTAGGTTAGGTTTAATTTAGAAATAACCCCATTTTAACACATTTGCCCAAACTACGAGTGTCCACTGCAAAACAGTGAAATTGTGACAGTTTAAAAATAATTTTCCATGAAAAATCAGTAATGGGTGTCATCAATAATTACGAATAATCATCTAGTTTCCACACTGATTATATACTCATATGGGCTTAAAAATCATATACAGGCAACATGAGAGAGAGAACTAGCATAATATAAACTGTAGTCTGGCTACTGTAGTGGAATTCTCCCCTACAAACGCTGTTTGTCGCTGCCTAGCCGACCCCACCAATTCCCCAGTGTATGCCTCGTGGTCTAGGTCAACCAGCGCCGCCATACACCACGGAGCGGGGGTCAACTGCTAAGCCACGCCTACCCCCGCTATTTAAGACCTGACCTCGTGGTGATCTCTCTCTTTCTACCTACACCAACCAGCCAGCAACACCTCCGCCTGCCTTGCGGTCTCGCTCCTCGCCTGCCTGGCGGTCCCTCTCTCCGCTGAGCATGGCGACCCACAAGCTGTCCTTCTCTGAGCGTCCTCACCAACCAGCTCTCTCTACATCACGCTTGTAACCATGCTGCCTTCCCAGCACCAAGCTGCATTGTACATCCAATACAACATGTATATAGAGAGCACATTGTGAGTTTCCTTTCTCAATCCCATCCTGAGTGTGAACACCAAACAATTTCATACCCCACACTACCATGTGTGGCATGACATTGACATATAACAAGGAAAGATATACATACATACCCTGTACTTTCTTTCTCAAATTGTATGGATCAACTTTCACCTCAGCCAACAGTCTATATCCCACAGCAACAATATTACCAAATTATGGATCTTTATATCTTTAGCCCAGGCCTTGAAGACAAGTTATCATGAAACTTATCCCCTTTTTATTGTGGGGAATTGCCCTCCCGGGCACAGATAATCAACCCACAATGTGGCCCGGGTGGGTGGGTGGTGGGTGGGTGGGTGGGTGGGTGGGTGGGTGGGTGGGTGGGTGGGTGGGTGGGTGGGTGGTGTGTGTGTGTGTGTGTGTGTGTGTGTGTGTGTGTGTGTGTGTGTGTGTGTGTGTGTGTGTGGAATAAGAGTAAAAATAGAAATTAGAGATAAAGACTATCTTAATCTAAAGAGCACCACGAATATACAGGAAAACTATACAAGGCCATTCCTAACTTACATATTGTGTTTCATGGATATACAGTACTTGTATGAGTATGTTACTGAATATTGAACTTACATATTGTGTTTCATGAATATACAGTACTTGTAAGCGTATGTTACTGAATATTGAACTTACATATTGTGTTTCATGGATATACAGTACTTGTATGAGTATGTTACTGAATATTGAACTTACATATTGTGTTTCATGAATATACAGTACTTGTAAGCGTATGTTACTGAATATTGAACTTACATATTGTGTTTCATGGATATACAGTACTTGTAAGCGTATGTTACTGAATATTGAACTTACATATTGTGTTTCACGGATATACAGTACTTGTAAGCGTATGTTACTGAATATTGAACTTACATATTGTGTTTCATGGATATACAGTACTTGTACGAGTATGTACGTCTAAATATTGAACTTACATATTGTGTTTCATGGATATACAGTACTTGTAAGCGTATGTTACTGAATATTGAACTTACATATTGTGCTTCATGAATATACAGTACTTGTATGAGTATGTAATCTAAATTTAAAATCTAATTTAAAAGCTTCATAAGAAAAATATGAAGTTACCAATTACCCCAAAACTTCAGAGGGTAGCAAACTTCGGTGTTACTATAGTATGTGGTCTCCTGGGCTGGAGCTACTGTAGTATGCGGTCTACCGAGCTGGAGCTACTATAGTATGCGGTCTACCAAGCTGGAGCTACTATATTATGTAGTCTACCAAGCTGGAGCTACTATAGTATGCGGTTTACTGAGCTGGAGCTACTATAGTATGCAGCTACTGAGCTGGAGCTACTATAGTATGCAGCTACTGAGCTGGAGCTACTATAGTATGTGGTCTACTGAGCTGGAGCTACTATAGTATGCGGCTACTGAGCTGGAGCTACTATAGTATGCAGCTACTGAGCTGGAGCTACTATAGTATGCGGTCTACTGAGCTGGAGGCTACTATGATATGCGGCTACTGAACTGCTGAGCTATTATAGTATGGTGCTCATACTAGGCTGAGGCTACTATGGTATGGTGGTCTATACTGAGCTGGAGCTGGAGCTATAGTATGCGGTTACTGATGAGCTACTATGCTGAGCTGGAGCTACTGATGTCCACTGAGCTGGAGCTACTGGAGCTACTATAGTATCTACTGAGCTGAGCTGGAGCTATAGTATGCGGCTACTCACTGGCTGCTGAGCTGGAGCTACTATAGTATCGCGACTACTGAGCTGGAACTACTGAGCTGGAGTATTTATACTGAGCTGTAGCTATTTGCAGTATCTGTCTGAGCTGGAGCTATTATAGTAGCGGCTACTGAGCTGGAGCTATTATAGTATCGCGGCGCTACTATAGCGGAGCTACTATAGTGTGCGGCTCTGCTGAGCTGGAGCTACTATGATATGCGACTACTGAGCTGGAGCTACTATAGTATGTGGCTACTGAGCTGGGCTACTATGATATCTGACTACTGAGCTGGAGCTATTATAGTATGCGCGGCTACTGAGCTGGAGCTACTATGGTACTGAGCTGACTACTGAGCTGGAGCTATTATAGTATGCGGCTACTGAGCTGGAGCTATTATAGTATGCGGCTACTGAGCTGGAGCTACTATGATATGCAGCTACTGAGCTGGAGCTATTATAGTATGCGGCTACTGAGCTGGAGCTACACTATAGTATCAGCTACTGAGCTGGAGCTACTATGATATGCGCAGCTACTGAGCTGAGCTGCGGACTGAGCTGGATACTATAGTATGCGGCTACTGAGCTGGAGCTACTATAGTATGCGGTTACTGAGGAGCTATTATATTATGCGGCTACCGAGCTGGAGCTACTATGATATGCGGTTACTGAGCTGGAGCTATTATGGTATGCGGTTACTGAGCTGGAGCTACTATAGTATGCTGAGTGGAACTATTATATTACCGAGCTGGAGCTATTATAGTATGCGGCTACTGAGCTGGAGCTACTATATCTGCGACTACTGAGCTGGAGCTACTATGATATCGACTGAGCTGGAGAGCTATAGTATGCGGCACTGAGCTGGGAGCTACTATAGTATGCGGCTACTGAGCTGGAGCTATTATAGTATGCGGCTACTGAGCTGGGCTACTATAGTATGCGCTACTGAGCTGGAGCTACTATGTATGCGGCTACTGTTAAGCTACTATGATATGCTATCGAGCTGGAGCTACTATAGTATGGGAGCTTGGCTACTGAGCTGGAGCTACTATAGTATCGGCTACTGAGCTGGAGCTATTATGGTAGATATGCGGCTACTGAGCTGGAGCTACTATAGTATGCGGCTACTGAGCTGGAGCTATATAGTATGCGGCTACTGAGCTGGAGCTACTATGATATCGGCGGCTACTGAGCTGGAGCTGGAGCTGCTACCGAGCTACGGTATGCGGTCTACTGGGCTGGAGCTACTATAGTATGCAGCTACTGAGCTGGAGCTATTATAGTATGTGGCTACTGAGCTGGAGCTACTATGATATGCTACTGAGCTGGGAGCTATTATAGTATGCGGCTACTGAGCTGGAGCTATTATAGTATGCACTACTGAGCTGGAGCTACTACAGTATGCGATCTACTGGGCTGGAGCTATTATAGTATGCAGCTACTGGGCTGGAGCTACTATAGTATCTATGAGCTGGGAGCTACACATGATATCTGACAACTGAGCTAGACTATTATAGTATGCGGCTACTGGAGCTGGAGCTACTATGATATCTTGACTACTGAGCTGGAGCTATTATAGTATCGCGGCTACCGAGCTGGAGCTACTGCATGCGATTCTACTGAGCTGGAGCTACTATGATAGCTATTATGGCGGCTACTGAGCTGAGCTACTATAGCGCGGCTACTGAGCTGGAGCTACTATAGTATGCGGCTACCGAGCTGGAGCTACTACAGCATGCGACTACTGAGCTGGCGCTTACTATGTCACGGCTACTGAGCTGGAGAACTACTATAATTATCTGCGGCTACTGAGCTGGAGCTACTATAGTATCACGGCTACTGGCTGGAACTATTATGGTCGGCTACTGAGCTGGAGCTATTATAGTATCACGGCTACTGAGCTCGACACTATGGTATGCGGCTACAGGCTGGAGCTATTATAGGCTACTGAGCTGGAGCTACTATGATATGCGGCTACTGAGCTGGAGCTACTATGATGTCACGGCTGCTGGGCTGGAGCTATTAGCATGCGGCTACTGGGCTGGAGCTACTATGGTATGTGCGGCTGCAGAGCTGGAGCTACTATAGTATGCAGCTACTGAGCTAGGATGGCTACTGAGTATGCGGCTACTGAGCTGGAGCTATTATGATGTCACGGCTACTGAGCTGGAGCTACTATGATATGCGGCTATTGAGCTGGAGCTACTATAGTATGCTACTGAGCTGAGCTGGAGCTGGAGCTACTATGATATAAATGCTCTTGAGCTGGAGCGAGAAGAGCCTGAGCTGGAGCTATTATAGTATGCGTTACTGAGCTGGAGGAATACTATGATATGCGGCTACTGAGCTGGAGCTATTATAGTATCGGCTACTGAGCTGGAGCTATTATAGTATCGCGGCTACCGAGCTGGAGCTACTATGATATCGCGGCCTGCAGGCTGGAGCTACATGCTGCGGCTACTGAGCTGGAGCTATTATAGTATCTGGCTGCTGAGTTACAGAGCTGAGCTACTATAGTATGCGGCTACTGAGCTGGAGCTATTATAGTATGCGGCTACTGAGCTGGAGCTATTATAGTATGCGGCTACTGAGCTGGAGCTACTATAGTATGCGGCTACTGAGCTGGAGCTATTATAGTATGCGGCTACTGAGCTGGAGCTACTATGATATGCGGCTACTGAGCTGGAGCTATTATAGTATGCGGCTACTGAGCTGGAGCTACTACAGTATGCGGTCTACTGAGCTGGAGCTACTACAGTATGCGGCTACCGAACTGGAGGTGTGTCTACTGGGATATTTACACTGTAGCATCCATTAACCTAACCTAACAAAACTTAACTTAATCTAACCTAGGTTGGGATAGGTTAAGATAGGTTAAGTTACCTGTAGGTTAGGTTAGTTTAGGTTGACATATTAGATTAAGTTAGGTTAGGTTGGGTTAATAAACGCTACAGTGTAAATATCCCGGTAGACCAACTCCAGCTCGGTAGACCACGTACTATAGTAGGACCCAAACTTCACTTTAACTGTAGTACTCTACAAAGTGATATTACTTAACTTAAAAATATCTAACTGCACAGAGATAAATGCAAGGTAAAAATTCATTTTTATGCCAATTTTCCCAATTGGTATAAGATACAGTATTATTTGTCTAGTATATTTTGGTGATTTTTAATTGACCTAACCTAACCTAATGGTAAAAATCCCGAAACACCTATTTAGATAAAAACGAATACTGTACAGTATTAACCAAAAGGGCAAATCCGAGAAACACCCAAAAAAACTAAGACTGACTCTACCGTCTGTATATTGAAGTTATTACGTTTGTTAAAAGATTTTCGTTATTACTTTTGGTGATTTCGATGTTCAGTAAGACAATCCAACTATATTTACTGTTTGGTTAAAATATATTACTCCTTTAACACAGTGAAACATATACTTTACCATGTAGAAATATATATATCCATAACTCACCGCTTTTCTTCAGCGACAAACACAACATCACTATCTCGTTGTTGACTGAAGTTTTTCCTTTAAGTGCGCCGGGTCAAGTTATCAAGTTATTCATGTCATCATACCGCCGTTGCCATACAGTACACCGATTCAAACAATATTCCAACTATCTAAATAATTCCTTACTACGGTATATAATTTGATATTTTTATATGGAAAACAATTTATTAATAATGGTTAATCCCAAACATGGATCAAATGAAAAATAAAAATAACTTAAAAAATAATACTAAAGATGATAAAAATCTGGAATTACGAGGAAAAGTAAACGACCAACTTTCGTGTTTTAAAACAAGGTGTTTATTTATATCCCAGTGATAACATCTTGATAAAAGAAAAAAAAAAGAACATCTTCCTTATTTAGTTGTAACTTAGGTCTGGGACAGAAACCTCTTAGCGAGACTCGGCAGCATTCCTTTAAACCAATATAGCTCATGTTATGACTGCCACATATTCAAGTTAACTTTTCCTTATTTTCGATGGTTCGGATGATGAATATTCTCGCAACTAATGTACTTTTCTCATATCTGTGGTGTCTATTCTTACTTTTTACTTTTATCCTCTTCACCACTGATCGGCTCGTTAGCCGCTTGGGCGATCGGTCACGTCTCTGTCAAACTGTTAGATAGGGTGGAATCAAAGGCATTTCGTCTTATTAGCTCTCCTCCTTTAGTTGATAATCTCTCTTCCCTTTCTCTTCGTCGCAATGTTGCTTCACTCTCTCTTTTACAGGTACTTTAACGGGCAATGTTTGGTGGATTTGGCATCCTGTGAGCAAGGCCGTAGACTCGTAATACACGTCTTGGCGGCCGCTGTGCCCGCCGTTTCTGTATGGATGTCGGTCACACAAGAACAAACCATTATAGTACATCCTTCTTTCCTCACACAACCAAACTGAGGAATGCTCTGCCTTCTTCTGGGTTTCCATCCTCTTACAATCTGTCTCACTTGAAAAAGTTGGTTTTCCGGCATCTTCGTGGTGTAGACGGTTCGACACAGCAGTGACCCAAATTGTGTTCACAGAAGAGGGTATTAGAAATAAACTGTCCAGGCTAAAGGTCCATAAAAGTCTCGGCCCTGACATGGTGTATCCTAGATTGCTAAGAGAGTTGTGCAACGAGCTTGCAGAGCCCCCGAAGATTCTGTTTTGTAAATGCCTGGACAAACAAATGGTCCCCAGTGAATGGAAAGTGGCTTATGTTAGTCCTATCTTCAAGAAGGGCGATCGTCACTCCACGAACAACTATAGACCGGTGAGCCTGACCAGCATAATATGTAAAGTACTTGAGAGTATTATCAGAGATGCCGCAATGGAACATCTACTACGAAACAACCTTGTAAAGGATTGCCAACACGGTTTTATGCCGGGGCGCTCCTGCTTAACACAATTGCTCAAGGGATTGGATATTTGCACCCATATTCTGGAACGGGTTGGTAATATCAACAATATTTACTTAGATTTTGCCAAGACTTTCGACAGTGTACCCCACGAAAGGCTGAAAATCAAACTGGGAGGGTACAGAATCCGGGGAAATGCCCTAGCGTGGATAGAAGACTTTCAACATGACCGCAAGCAGTGTGTGGTGATTAATGGCACGAAATCGTCATCTGTACCTGTCACAAGTGGGGTACCACAGGGCAGCATATTGGGCCCGCTGTTGTTTGTTTACTTTATAAATGACATACCTGACGTTGTACACTCCTCCATACAAATGTTTGCCGATGACGCCAAGTTATTTCAGGAAATCAAGAACCAAGCGGACTGTGAAGAGCTGCAGAAGGACCTCTGTGGGCTCCAGGAATGGTCGAAGAAATGGCTGCTGAGATTCAATGTCACGAAGTGTAAGAGGATGCACCTGGGGCGTACCAACGGTAAGGAGGCGTATCATATGTCCCAACGGGATGAAGAAACTGCACTAGTTGAGACTGAATGTGAGAAGGACCTAGGTGTGTATGTTGACAATGAGCTGAAGTTCTTAGGCCATTAAGAGAAGAAGGTAAATTAGGCAAATAAATTATTGGGTCTTATAAGAAGGTCGTTCAGATATCTAGACGGTCCGTCCCTCGTAACGATCTTCAAGAGTGAAGTGCTTCCCCATCTGGAGTACTGTCACTCCATCTGGTCCCCGAGATATGCTAGGGACTGTCAGTTGGTTGAAAATGTTCAAAGGAGGGCCACCAGACTGGTGCCTGCACTTCGGCACCTCAGCTACGCCTGAACTTGCCTAGCTTATACTTCAGTCGGGCAAGGGGGGACCTAGTTGAGGTGTATAAGCATCTCAGGGGGCACTACTCAGTCGAGTGTCCTTACTTGGAGCTGGCAGACGCTCGCCCCACAAGGGGTCACAGCTCAAGATTGAAGAAGCCGCAAGTCCAGAAAACTGTGAGGGCAAACTTTTTCGGAGTGAGGGTTGTAATCTCTTGGAACAATCTACCAGAAAGTGTTGTGACGGCACCGAGTGTGAGCTCTTTCAAGACAAGACTTGACCAACACTGGAGCGGGTTCAGGTACATTCAGGAGCCGGTGCATGCCCACTGCCCAGTATTTGCCAACAGTGCGTGACAGACGTGACCGATCGCCCGGGCGGCTCGTGAGCCGATCTTTTGGTGAAGAAGATAAATGAAAAGGAAAAGTAATCAGAGACGTGACCGAGCGCCCAAGCGGCTAACGAGCCAATCAGTGGTAAAAAAAACAAAAAAACATTTCATTGTTATCCTAAAATAAATGCAGTATTAATGAATCTTAACGTTCGTGTTCTGTGGTTACTCTAAAGCGTGTATGAAACCTCATGTCTCACATAGTTGGTCTTAAGGGCAATAAAAAGATACCAGCAACATCAGTAAGGGCAAGCTTTTTCGGAGTGAGTATTGTAAACTCCTGGAACGACCTGCCAGTGTTGGGAACACCGAGTGTGAGCTTTTTCAAGACCCAGACTTGACCAACAGCGACGGAGGCACAGAATACAGACAGATACATTCTGGGGCCAGTATATGCCCAGTACTTGCTAACAATGCGTAACAACTATGTGGCAAATCGCCCAAGCGGTTTTAGTGGATCCTCTCCCCTATAACTGCCGACTGATCACCTGCCGTTCGCTTACCAGCCAATCAGCTTACAGCCAGCGACGTCGACAGACAATGTCTCAGGTATGCAAATATCCAATACCTTGAGCAATTGTGTTAAGCAGGAGCGCCCCGGCATAAAACCGTGTTGGCAATCCTTTACAAGGTTGTTACGCTGTAGATGTTCCATTGCGGCATCTCTGATAATACTCTCAAGTACTTTACATATTATGCTGGTCAGGCTCACCGGTCTATAGTTGTTCGTGGAGTGACCGTCGCCCTTCTTGAAGATAGGACTAACATAAGCCACTTTCCATTCACTGGGGACCATTTGTTCATCCAGGCATTTACAAAACAGGATCTTCAGGGGCTCGGCAAGCTCGTTGCACAACTCTCCTAGCACTCTAGGATGCACCATGTCAGGTCCGGGACTCTTATGGACCTTTAGCCTGGACAGTTTATTTCTAATACCCTCTTCTGTGAACACAATGTGGGTCAGTGCTGTTTCGAACCATCTGTCCTCAAACGCAGGAAGGTTAATTGCATCCTCTCTTGTGAACACCGAGGAAAAGAAGCTGTTCAATGCCTCAGCTTTATCCTGGTCAGAATCTGCGTAACTACCATCTTCAAGCCTCAGGTCTGATACTCCTACTCGCGTTATCAATTTCGACTTTGCAAAGCGGTAAAACGCCTTTGGGTTTGACTTGACCTCGCTTGCAACCAGCCTCTGGAACTCCTTTTCAGCCCTTCTACACTCTATCTATGCTTTGGTTCTGGCTCTTACATACCAAGGTTGGTAGATAACCTACCTTGCTGGCACACATCCTCCTGTCCTGCTCACCGTTTGACCCAACCCACATCTTGAATTTCTGGGTTTTCTTCTTTGGGGTTATCCTTCGTTAGATAGACTTACTGTTTGCTACTGAGCATATTCCTACACTTTATTGGTTTTTCCTGAACCAGTGTAACTTAAATAAAATAGCTGCTTAAACATGTATTTATTACCATCGGCGAAATAAAGTGTTTAGTGTCGTCGTCCACCATCATGTTTATGTCTGGCTGAGGGAGAACGAGTTAATGTATCGTTAAGTGTACCTGTCTGTCAGGTGTTACTGACGTAAAGTACGTGGCGAAAGAGGTTGCGGTTGACGTGAGATAAGTTGGTGGCTGAGGTTAACGATGTCTGACATAAGAAGAACATTAATGAAGAACTCGCTACCCCCTATGGGACCCCCAGGGGTACCTGGGTGAGTTAACACCTTACTCCTCGTTCACCCTCACTTAATAACACTGACCAGTAACACTTGCGAGAAACATTGACAACTAACACTTACCAGTAATACTAATCATTAACACTATCAGAAACACAGACGAGTAACTAATCAGTAACACTGACAAGTAATACTGGTAACTGACTAGTAACACTTGCCAGTAACACTACTAACCATTTATACCAGTAACAGTGACAACTAACACTAACCAGTAATACCAGTAACAATGATAAATAACTAACTACCGTTAGTAACACTTCCCAACAACACAAAATATTAATTTTGGTAAAAGTGGAGCAGACAGCAAACACCAGTAAGAGTTGTTCGATTTCTTTAAAAGTTTCCACATGTTCTTTGGATGATAGTAAGTACCGTGATAAAAACAGTATGACTGCACAAAACCTAATAGAACCTGATCTAACCTTACCTTACGTAACCTGACCTGACCTAAGGAGACTGCTAACACTAGAAGCCGTTGTTCGATTTTAGTAATAAAATGATATGACAATAAACAAAACCTTATAGAACTTAGCTTAACTTCCTAACCAGGGGGCTCCATCCTCAGGATGCCCCCAGCATATTCAGCAGTGTTGCTAAAACAATCATACAAACCTTGAACATGTTAGCATGGATTAGTCTTGGAAATCAAAAATAATTTTTAGTTATTTATCCATGCTACCGTGTTTGGGGGTAAGCATTGACTTCACACCTTGGCTGACCACCGATTAATTGCCTGGTTTGTATGTTTCTGGAGGGAAGGAAGGGATGGACCGATTGAAGCTGCTGGTAAGGAATTTTGAGGCCACCAGTCTGTGTGGCTTAAAAGTGTCATGGACTGTACTTTTCTACTGTGTGGTGGAGACAACAAAAGACAACTTTGTGCTATATACGAGTATATGTACAGGTGCTTGTTTGTGGTGTGTCTATTGAAAGGAAATGGAAGGATAATTGTGACACACAATATTGTAGCCATTTTAGGTAATTTTTCATTATCTCCCACAGTTTCCGTGTAGAGGGATAGTGATATTTTAGGCATTTATATGTTTGTGTATACAATCCAACTTTGTAAACATAATAACTTAAACAGATAGCAACAAAATCTTAGATTTGTTTGATTGTCAGTACCGGTATATTCTATCATTAGTGTCCAGTTATGGCAGCTTGACTGTATTGCAGAGCAGTAAGGGATGTGACTACCTTTATTTGTGCCCCTCCAGGTGCACAGCAAGATGTGATTTACTAGTAAAACATTTAAGCTCTTAAAATGATGAATTTTTCCATAAGAAATATACTATTACATACTGTAGCGACTACTTATCGCTACAAGGCACCCTGAACAGGCTACAGGCATGGACTATGGAGAACAAGGTCACCATCAATCATACCAAAACCGTAGTCATGCACATCAATACCGCCACCACTCCAGTGCAAGCTCCAGCAGTTACAGTGGGTACTCATCCTCTCCAGTTAGTGCAGTCTGCCAAACTCCTGGGTGTACCTATAGACCACAAACTGGACTGGAAGGCCCATGTAAACAACACAATCAAGGCAGCCTCGTACCGACTTTACATGCTATGACGACTCAGGTCACTTGGGGTACCCACGCCAGAGCTGAGGACTATGTACAACGCATTTATTCTCCAAAAATTAACATACTGTATGCGTCACCAGCCTGGTCGTCTTCTCTCAACTCCACCCAACAACGTCAGCTAGAGAAGGTACAGAAGAGGGCCTGCAGAATCATGCTCGGCTCAGACTACTCCGGCTACAACAACGCTCTCTCCACCCTGGAAATGCCATCCCCCAGTGACCTCCACCACCATGCACTTGCAGGGTTTGGCAGTAGACTACTGCACCATCCTCGTCATCGACACCTACTGCCACCGGCAGTCCCCCGCCCACCTTGCGCAGTCTGCCACTACAACAAAATTCAGCCCATAAGAGTTAACACTGATAGATATAAGAATAATAAACAGCTCCTGATTTATGTACTGTACAGCCCTGTAAATGTATTGAACGTATATTATTATGTCTAAATCACATGTAAGTTTGTATATTTTCAGCCACCGGCTGCAACTCTATTAATAAACCGTTTATTATTATTATTATTATTATTATTATTATTATTATTATTATTATTATTATTATTATTATTATTATTATTAACAACTCTGCAGATTATTCCAAATGTGAATTCTTCACAAGGTAGAATTGTTACAACAAAACTTTTCCTTTCTGTAGGTTGAATCGAGGCGGCCGAGGACGTGGAGGGATGATGGGAGGTCGGCGGGACTACACACCAACATCCTGGAAGAAGTACTGGGACAGTAGTGAGGACGTCACCCTGGAAGGTGATATTTTCCGTGTGTACAAGCGTGGCACGGCAGGTCCTCTGTTACTGCTCTTACATGGCGGGGGATATTCAGCTCTCACCTGGTCACTCTTTGCTGTAAGTTCTTCTTCTAAAACTTATTAATATAGCTATAGTTACTGTTTAGATTTTGGGATCATTATAGTAATGGTTATTTAATTTTAATTTCTTTTGGTACAGCAATTGCTAATTTAAAATGAATGACTTTCCACTAGTCTATTCAATACAGTACAGTATCAACAAAGTGTTCTAAAGGAATTAGAAAAGGAAGTTCTTGAGTGCAGTACAACTTTTCATCCATCTTGAGTGTTTGTTCATGTCATCTCATTGTGCTAGTGGTATCTCACTACCTTTGGATCCTTTAAAACCTATCATAAGGTTCTCTTTAACTGTAACTTTGGATCAAATATCTAATTAATATAAATTTAGATAGATAAACACCGCTATGGATTAGGTAACACAATAGATACATAAATACTGTTGAAATATTGTACTACTGGTACAGTAGTAATTTAATAAATCTTAAACATATATATTGGCTCCTGAATGATTGAGATTCTTGCAATGATGATTCAAGATGTACCAACACATAAATTTAGGCCATAATATCTATCAGACTTGTACTATGCTTGCTGCCCTATTTAAGTTTATGTCCCATGTCAGGAGCACGTCGGAGAGAACTACCAACAACCTTCGCTGCACTTCTCCCAACCTGCGGGAATGTGTTACAATCAGTTTTGCCTTGGCAACCATTGTTTGTTTATATTTTTAAACAAAAGGGAGTTGCTGTCATGATTATGTAGGGATGAAGTTTCCCAGCTTGTTTGTATTTTGCCACAGAGCATCCACCTTGTCTTTCAAGATTCATCTTCTGGCCAGAAACATAAAGCTGATGTATCAGCAAGCTCAAATAAAAAGTGTCAGCAGGATTCCTTTCCCTAGCAATCAATGAAAGTTTTGATTACCAGGCCCAAACTGTTCTTATATTCTTTCATGGTTTGCAAATAATGGGTATACATATCACTTATGATATATTAAAGGATTTAACTAACTAGTGCAACTTTTAGCTAAATATTTTTGAAAGCTATTATTGGGGATTTGATGGAAATTTAAGAGTTCACTCCCAAAACCCATATTTGCCAAAAGCTGACTTCAATCCATACAAGATCTTTGGGAAACACGGTAATCAGATTTCCAAATAGCTAAAGTTGTTACCTGTTACAGTATTATTTATATAAAAATTTACATTGAACTCAAAATGCTGGTTGCTGTGATATTTTTATAGAAGAAATTTGTGAACTAAAACCTGTGATAGTTCAATACAGCATGATATTAACACTTTCTGCAGGAGAATGTCAGTGAGATGGTGGAGTGTCAGGTGATGGCCATTGACCAGCGTGGACATGGGGACACTCACACCACAGATGATACGGATCTTTCTGCTGAAACACTTGCCAGGTATGTGTACCACTATGGATTCTCTGGTTTAGTTATGTAATTGTTAACTGTTGTGTGAGTTTTTATGATTTACGTATTTGGAAAAGATTGGTATTGAAGAGTTGATGGAAAAATTTAAGAAATGGAGTGATGGAATGGAGCCAGAGGGTATGAGAGGGAATGTGGTGAGAACAAAAGTACAGTAATAATTAGTGGTGTGGGTGAAAGACCTGTAGTGGAGAGTGGAAAATGGCCTTGTGTTATTTATAAGAAAGGTGTTAGGAGTACAGTAATTCAGAAATGTGTAGTGAGTGGAACCATTGGTATACAAGTGATGTAAATGAGAGACTGCAGGGGTGGAAATGCTCAAAATCAACAATGGGGATATATCCCTGGATTGTGCCAATGAGTTCTGCTGCCTGGGTGACATGATTAGCGCTGGAGATAGTGCTGATGCTAGCTTAGTTGCAGGAGTCACGTGGCTGGAAAAAGTTTTAAGGAGCTATTGCCTTTATTGATGGTAAGACGACCTTCTCTGCTTGAAAGGAAAGTTATATGCAACTGGCATGAAAAGTATGATGTGTGTCAGTGAAACATGGGCATATAAAGTGAATGACATAAGTAGGCTTGAGCGAATTAAAATGAGAATTGTGAGAGGTTGTGTAATGTGAAGTTGAGAGGTAAATAATCCCAGTTCAGAACTAAGAGGGTGGCTGGATATTGAGAGCATTGGCATTGTTTTGCTAAGAGGTAGGCTGAGATGGCTTGGGCATGTGTAGAAATTGGAGGAAACCATTTGGGTCAAAAGATGCATTGGGTTGAATGTGGATAGGAGGAGAGCAAGGGGTAGGCTAAGAAGGACATGGGGAGAGGTTGTGAGAAATTACTTCAGAGAGAAGCACCTGATGATAGAGGCTGCAAGAGACCACTGAACTGAGGGAGTTGCCACCAGGTAATCATGGCTGACCTATGCAAGCATGAAAATACTCTGTAAAACAGTGATGATGATGATACCAATCTCAATATTTTGCACATCAGGGTTTTGTTGAATGCACCTTATTTAGTGTATCAGTTATCATTTTTCTTTTTTGATTGAGGATGGTTGAGGCTGAATATCTAACTGGTAACTTACTCACTATGTGTCACATAAACATGTTTGTCTGGTTTTGATATCTCTTATCATTTTATACATTATTAATATTGCAGCATTTTCTTGTACAGTACAGTATTGTAATCTTGCTTCTGAGATGAACTGTATAGTTCATAACATTATTCATTCTTGCTGCTGTATATTAAATTTAAACTCCATGTCTTTGTATCTAAGATTTTATTAAGGCAGGTAACTTTGTGTGCACTTTATCTTTCTTTAAGGGCATTAGCCCACCCGGGCACGGGTCATTTTTAATGACCCACATCAAGGCCCGGGGGGCGAAAATATAATAAAACAATAATAATAATAATAATTATGCCAATGATGATGATAATGGTAATAATAATAATAATAATAGGTAACTTTGTGTGCACAGTATTGTGTTAAAATATATACAGTGTACTCTTTCCATGATGACAGTGACATTGGTCGAGTTGTAGAGGAGGTGTATGGGCGTCAGCAACCACCATGCGTGCTCATCGGCCACAGTATGGGTGGAGCCATTGCTGTCCACACTGCATACCATGGATATGTTGTTGGTACGTATATAAATACAATATTAATTTGGTATATCCTTAGAGCTGTGTAATACCATAGTTACCGGTATGTTACTGGCACATATAATTTTTTGGTAGTTCAGTACTGCAGTACTTTAGACTTGTGTTATCATATAATATTATAATCATGTTAAGTAAATATGGGTTTTTCAGTTAAAATTTACTTCTGTTCTTACCTTTGGCATTTTTGGTGTTCACTAATTAAATTGGCTTGTTAAAAAAAAATTAAAACTGGAAGGTGAAGGGAAAACAGTTGACTAAACAACACAAAGACTAAACACCGGAAATATAATAATGGCCAAATATTTTAAATTTACTGAGAGTTTGATGACATGTTTCATCATATCAGTGTTAGAGAGAAGTGCCGAGAAATAGAGCTCCAATATTAAAGTTTGGATATTGCCGGGAACTACTATTGAGTTAATTATTGATGGATCCGCAAGGCCTTGGGCTGTGGATGATTTGAGTACCTTAAAGTGAATTATACTATAGTCAAAACTTTGTGAACTCAGAAACAGTTACTCTCACCCAAAATTTTGTGGCAGTATCCCTCAGGTTGGTCATCACATTTCTCATTTTATCACATGAATGGTAGTGTTCTTATTCAAGAGAAGTTGCCATAAACACTCACAGTGCCTCCACACCTTCAAACTAATTACCAACTACTGTGCACCAAAAGAAGCCAAAGTTGAAGATCTCACTTTTTTTTTTTTAAGAAAATTGTTGAATCCAGAATGGGATAAGATTTGATTGGGCAAGAAGATTGTATTACATCTCACTTCAGCATAACTTTGTCATCATGGATATTGCCTTTTTGCCACTTAGTATAAAACATTTTCTGGGAAATAGCCAACTTTGCCTAGAGGCTTTTGATGTTTATCTCATCTCACATGTTACTCACCTATTTCTGTGGATATAAAAAGGGATTTTATGTCTCAATCCTCAATACTGTGTATATCTACTGTTTTCTATAGGTCTAGCAGGTTTAGTGGTAATAGATGTAGTGGAGGGGACAGCCATGGATGCCCTCAGCTCTATGCAGAGTTTCCTCCGTGGCCGCCCACAGAACTTCAATTCACTCCAAAATGCTATTGAATGGAGGTGTGTTCTAGCAGTTGTTTTTAAATAAAAGTGTTCTGGTAAAATATCATGTAGTACCAGGAATGTGTCAACATCCACAAGTTTTTCTTGCTTTCAGTGTGCCTTTTTTTTATACAAAGATGAGTGCCCTTTTTGCTTTCAAATTACTTTTAAAGTTACTTGTATAGTGAACTGGTGACTCAGAGAGCATATTTTCAAATCAGTTAAAACTAGATGCAAGTGAACTCAAACAGGATCCTTCATACCATTTACAATGGCTTGATAATATTATTGATTTCTTGTACAGTAATAAATTTGTGTTGCTATTGACAAAAGCAGTTAGCTGTAGTTTTTAAAACAATTTAAATTACACTATATCTTTAGAACAACATAAAAATGAGTACAGTATATAAAACATTTAAATAAAAAATTTCTGACTGCAGTTTATTCAAGATCAATCCTGAAGCCCTCCTTGACCCTTTCTCTGTACCTGCCATGCTGTTATCCCCCAGCCTACCCTCTATTTCTTAAGTTCCTTCAAGTATCATCATTTTAACGATACCCTGACAATGAATCTTTAATGATGTTTGATGAATAAATAATCATTCTCCTTTCAGTGTGCGCTCAGGACAAACCAGAAATGTTGAAGCAGCCAGAGTATCAATGCCAGGACAAGTGAAGAAGTGAGTATTACTGTGGTGTTCTGTGGAGAGTTGGTTGAAAATAAAAAATTAAATGCCAGCTGTTTTAACAGAATGGAATATGTGTGTGTCATATGAAGTTGCTACTTATTTAATATATAACTGGGCTTATAAAATTTACACCTTGATGAACTAGAGCTTTAAGCTCTGACACCTTTCTTTTAGGGAGTTGAATCCTTTCAGAGGCCTTTAGATCAAGAAACCATTCTCATGTCTGAGGGTTGGTGATCATGGTCCTCTAACTCAATTAATTTTGAGCTCTCTCTACCAATCATTCTAGATTTTGTCATCAGGGATTTAGGTTTTAATTGTATTCATCTTTTCTAGTCTGTCTTTCCCTGGTACTTTTGCCTTGAGTATTGCTAATTAATATTTACACCATTATCCTCTCATCCCAAAATATATATTGCATATTTATCTCATTTTCCTCATTCTATAAATTTAAAGTATTTCTCATGTTTCTCTTGTCTTGCATAATACGGTACTTATTTATTTGTTTTCATATCAATATAACTTATCTCAAGCATTCTCCTGTAGCATCATATTTCAAATGCCGCTCACCTCTGCTGAAAGCATCCATGATTTTTACCCAAAGAGTAAAACTGATCATAAAATGCATTTCAGCAGCCTTTTTTCAACTTCATATTAATACCCTTCATGATGTTTATGCTTGATCTTATCTTGTGTTAATTTCTTTTACACATCTTCCACCGCAAGTAAGGTTACTGTCCATACAGTAAACTGAAGTACAGTACACAAAATTTTCCACTTGTTTTGTGTCTGCTACCGACCATAATTTTCATATTAGGATTTATTTTTAATTAAGAATAAATCATTACTTTTGTCTTTACAGCATATTCTTCACCTTTTCCAATTATCAGTTACCGCAAGCAACTTTTGTATAGAAGACTCATCACTGTCTGCAATAAGAACAATAAAATCTGCATATCAAATAATGTACATACTTGATATAGTTTTACCATTCTGAGAAATTATTTGTAATTTCCAAGATTTATGTGATTAATAACAGCCATATGAAACCAGTATAATCCAGTTTGTAAATATTGAGCTAAATAATCTGGATGTCTGAAGAGCAGTGAAAAGCCTGGTATTATGGTGGTCATTTGTGTATCACTATGATGTACTATGCCTTCTCTTGTGTTGATGATACATGCATAATTTTTTCTAACCATCCCCATCATTCAGACCATAGTACTGTACTGTATTGTCTGAAATATCTTTTAGAGGAATCAGTATGGTCATTTAGGTTTGACATTAAGGGAATGTGTTGCCATTTTCCTTTCACTTCAAAATATATAACAGTTTCAAGAAAATGAGGGAAGCATGTTTACCCTTTTGGTGTGGAAAAAGCATCTATGCACTCACAAAATAGTTTCCCTTGTCTGCATAAAATGCTTACGGTATTTGCAATGACCACTAAAATCGAGCTAACATTATGGGGAAATTTTTTTGAACAACTGATAAATTTTTCAGATGAATACTGTACATAGATAAGATAAATTTTCATGTACTGTATTATCACAGCACAGAGACTGGTTGCTGTGGAACTTGTGATGTGGAGTCATCCATGGACTACAGTAACCAGAACCAGGAGACTGGGGGCACAGTACGAGCTGATGTAATCCTTGAGGAAGGTAGTGACTCTGATACAGCTCAAGCTAACCAGCCAACACCTGCACCAACAATACCCAATGAAAACAAATTACCGGTAATGATTGTACATTTATCAGTGTAGCTTTCAATACAGTGGACTACTGAAGTTGTAAAAAATGGTTGTTTGTGTAATTTTTATAGTACAGTATTTGTAGAAATTTATGTCTATCAGTTTGATGGTTCATGCAAAATTTCCTCCACACAGCATTATGTGGTGCATCTCCTAAGGGTTCCTTTATCATTATGCCCCTCTTGAAGAAACACTGTACAGTAGGGAGTGACAGTTTGGCAAAAGTTTTCAAAATCTAATTGCTTGGGTTGGATTATTTGTCTATCGGCCACGCTAATTCCGAATATGTTTGAGTTTTTTACATCATTGCATTAGAAGGTTTGTGGATACTTTTGGGTTTGGCATGAAAAACGCGAAAAAACTGTAAATAATAAAGGGACTGGCAATGTGGCACAACCTGTTAAAATCAAGTTATTGAATTGGATTATTCGACTACTGTGTACACTGGTTCATAATATGCTATTGTTTTACAACTCAATGCGCTACAAATTATGCCGATATTTTTGCTGCAAGTCACCACATACGTATATTTCGAAAACCAGGGCCCAATATTACCAACGGCGTGGATAGATTCCGTGGAATGAATTCAGGACATTCCCGCTCATGGAACATTACCAAACTCCGTATATGTGCCAATGGCAGGCCAATGGCAATATTTACAGAGTTTGTTGAGGCTCCCTGGACGGGAATGCCCTGAACTTTTCTTTTTTCTGTTCTCGTGACCTCTTCCTGACTCTCTCCACTTTCTTCCAGTTAGTCACTTTAGACTTGTCCCCTTCAGTTATGATGTTGTCTGCAGCTCTGATGGTGTTTGCGATGTGAGCCACTGCATCATTGGATACCTTGAACCTGTCAGCAGTTTCTCCGATCCTGTCCTCGGCTTCTTTCTCCCTTTTCCTTTTCTCTGATCTTGCTCTCCTGTCGACCATAGCCTTGAACTCATTGTCATTGACATCCTTATAATCACTATCTTCTTCCTGAGCACTGTCATCCACTGCCGACACTTTACACGACATCCTCTCCATCTCCTCCTTACTCTTTGACCTCATCTTCTCAGTTTTCCTCTCTTCCTCAGCCCTTTTCTTTGCCCTCTTCGCTTCCTTCTCCCTCTCTTCTTTCAGCTTGGCAGTCACAATTTTGTCAACGCCATCAATGCAGCCCTCCCTTCCCGGTTTCCTCTGGGCTGCCAGGAAGCTTTTCTCTCGTTCGTGCACTTTGCTGTCGTCTGCCACATCAAACAACTTCTCAGCTATATCCTCGAACCTCATCTTCAGCTTCCCGTTCTTCGTTTTCTTCCTTTTCTGTTTCTGTCCATTTCCCTTCATCATCATCGTCTCCCTCCGCATCCTCCACAGGTCGTGGACTCTCATTTTCACCCTGATTTCAGAGATAGTGGGGACAGTGGCCTTCCTATACACATCCAGTACCTTCTCAGTCACCTTGTTGGTGGCATCCATATAATCAAAAGCATTTGTTCTTCTCCTTAACCTCTCGTTTTCTGCTTCATAAGCCAGGGCACTTCCAACTTCCTTGTTCAGAGGCAACTTGTTAGATGGCAGAGGCATCCGAACCCCGAACACCTTATCGTTACCCTGGCGCAGCTGAGTGTTGCTAATCTTAGGACGACCCATCTTGGTGGCGGCCCTTTGAACTAACTGCAAAACAACACAGAAAAAACAACTTTCAGCACTTCAATATCACCACCTATTGAACAATATTTTATTCAAAAGTACGGACTGAGATTTTGTCCTTAACTGTCCAAGTCAAGCTACTTGGGCTGAATTCGTTGATCAGTCCTGGGACGAATATTACCAACGGCGTGAATAGATTCCGTGGAATAAATTCAGGGCATTCCCGTCCAGGGAGCCTCAACAAACTCTGTAAATATTGCCATTGGCCTGCCATTGGCACATATACGGAGTTTGGTAATGTTCCATGAGCGGGAATGTCCTGAATTCATTCCACGGAATCTATCCACGCCGTTGGTAATATTGGGCCCTGGTTTTCGAAATATACGTATGTGGTGACTTGCAGCAAAAATATCGGCATAATTTGTAGCGCATTGAGTTGTAAAACAATAGCATATTATGAACCAGTGTACACAGTAGTCGAATAATCCAATTCAATAACTTGATTTTAACAGGTTGTGCCACATTGCCAGTCCCTTTATTATTTACAGTTTTTTCGCGTTTTTCATGCCAAACCCAAAAGTATCCACAAACCTTCTAATGCAATGATGTAAAAAACTCAAACATATTCGGAATTAGCGTGGCCGATAGACAAATAATCCAACCCAAGCAATTAGATTTTGAAAACTTTTGCCAAACTGTCACTCCCTACTGTACAGTACTACTGTATGCTCTTCCTCCATGTTATATTTAGCTTTACATTTATATTTTCTTCTAATCACTCCACTCTAAGTACCTGTACTCTCTTAGTCCAGCCACCTGACTTGTTTTATTGCTTTTCCTACTATTTGTTATGTGGCAAATTTCAGCAGCCTTAAATCTCTTTAAATGTGTAAACAAAAATCGTGGTGTCTGGGAAATGTATGGGGGAGAGAGAAAGAGAGAGGAATGAGTTAGGGTTGGGCTGGGTATCTCTCGACTTTACTCCTTCCCCCATACAGTTCACAGTTGATTGATTGAGTGATTGGGTAAATTATGTGGCGTCATAGCCTGTGGCTATTTGACGCCATAAATGAAATTCACAAGCTAAAACCCACACAGTTCACAGGACATGAGTATACAGTATTGGATTATTGAATTCATAAATGGCCACTTCAGAATCACCCCCCCCCCGTCCCCCCAATTTACATGCACACACATCTATGGTGTTATTGTATTATTGTAAACAATGTAAAGAAAGTCTAATGACAGCCTAGGATAGCATGGGATTTCTTTTTTCTTTTTTTTATACTAATTACTGAGCATCCTGATGTAAATGTACTGTACTTTACTTGGAATTCTTTGATTGGTTTGATCAATTTAACCACCAGGTAAAGAAATATACATGGCGCATAAACCTTGGAGAAACAGAGAAATTTTGGTCTGGCTGGTTTCATGGGTTATCATCAAAGTTCCTGGCAAGTCCTCCCTCAAAGATGTTGCTGCTTGCAGGCATCGACAGACTGGACACTGACCTCACTGTTGGGCAGATGCAAGGTGTGTCATTGTTGTGTATTAGCTATTAATTGTATTTGTTGATTTTGGGGGTAATTAATGGTTACTCCTCATTTTCTTTTACGAACACCCACCGATACAAACGAGGTTAAACTTTAAATTTACAGTATTTTATTTCTTCTTTTCTCTTAAATTAAGTGATTGTAGATGTATATAAGGACTTAGTCTATGATGTACAGTCAGTTCTGCTATAACGCGATAGTTGTGTTCTTGTAAAACATCGTGTTATAGAAATTCGCGTTATAGAAATAACAGGGCTTATGGAGAAAATAGGATTAGGTGCAGATTACTACTCGAAATCGAAAAAAATTTAGTAGTTAGCCTAACACAAAGGTTAGCACAGTCTAAATAAATGTTACATTCATATCTAATAATGAAATCATACAGTAAATGTAACACTTTACCTTGAAAAAATATGAATAGTTCTTGATAGGGGAGAAGGGTGATTTTGAGGATGATAACATCGAGCTTCTCTTCAAGGGTTATGGCCTTTCTTTTACGATCATCACCGGGAATGCGACCACCAGAACGCTTCTTGGAGATATTCTTCTTTACCATATTCACAGTTAATACCACAAAATTGGAGAAATAGTAAGCAAAATTCGCGTTACAGCAAACAAGCGTTCGCATTATACAAATATCGTTCCTCTATTCATAAATCGCGTTAGAGCCAATTCGCGTTGTCAAAACACGTGTTATAGCAGAACTCACTGTAGTGGGATTTTAAAAAGTATTCTGTAAGTACGGTATGCACATAGTATGTGTTTTGACTTACGTACATTTTCGACTTAAGAACGTCCTCAGGAACGGAACCTGTTCGTAACTTGGGGACCCCCTGTATGTAAAAATGACTGACATAAGGTGGTTAACTATACAGTATGTGGGAGTGAAATATGAAGGGTTGAAGAAGAATGTAAGCAGTTTGAGATTTATGACTAAGAAAGAATATCTAAAGAAGGAAAACAAAAGAGAATGGTGGGATGAGAGGGTGGTAGTGCTCCTAAAGAAGAGAAGGGCATATGAGTGTCAGTTATAAGAAAAAGGTCACAAAAGAAGGGGGAGGAACATTGAAATTAGAAAATATATAAGGTAATAATGAAAGAGTGCAGGATAGGATATTACTGATGAGAGGGGGAACATTGTCACAGGGCTTTAAGGAGAGCAAAAACCTGTTGTGGAAGAAATACAATAAGGTGAGAAATCCAAGAGAACAAATGGAAAAGGCAGTTAAGAATGAAAGAGGGGATTTATTTCAGAAAAAAAGAGGAAGTGAAAAGACTACAGGGAGACTACTGTATTTTGAATAATTGCTAAATGTAACAGATAAGAGAGAGAGAGAGGTTTCAAAGGAAGCAGAGACAATGATGACAGAGGAATTGTTGAACTAACATTATTATGTGGGTGTGAAGTATGAACTCAGGATGCAAAAGGAAGGAGTACATTAGAAGTGACAGAAATAATGAGTTTGGGGTAAAGAGGGTGAATATCCTGAAAGCAGCAGTTTGTATGAATATACAGAGAGCTGATGTTAGGCTTCGAAGCAACAAGGATAAACCAGATTTGGGTCTTGTTATGGAACAGGAGTATACATCCTTTAGAGCTAAGAGAATAAATGAATGACAGCAAATGAAGGGAAATTTTGTGTTTGTATGTACAGTATTTTTCATTCTAACCACCCTGCATGAAGCTGGGAAAGGCATAAAACAGAGATAGAAAGAGAAGATGTGCAGTCCTCTTCACTAGTGCATTTAAAGGGGCTCGTCAGGTTTTGTGCAGTGTGGCAGCCGTGTTTGTTTTCATTCGACAGAAGGAAACTTGTAATAGTAAACATACTATGGAATCAAAGTAAAACAATATTAAAATAAATATCTCAATGTAATGATTTGTGGAATGTTTATATGACGAGCCCCTGTAAACGCACTAGTGAAGGGGACTGTACAGTTATATTTTCAATTATTTTTAATGTTAAATATTTATATATACCAATTTGCAGGAAAATTCCAAATGCAAGTGTTGCCACAGTGTGGCCATGCTGTGCAAGAGGACACCCCAGACCGTGTGGCTGAGGTGCTTGCTACCTACCTCCTCCGACACAGGCTCACCACTCCCAAAGCAGATTTCCATCGGTAAATAAATAGCTTCTATTTTGTATTTCATTAATTTTCCAGTATGGTACAGTACTACTGGTAGGTATTGATAAATGGATTGAGATACAGAATTTACACCTTTATATGTAATGACCAACAAATGATGAAGTGTATTTTCATATACAGAACTGTATTGAGCCAGAGTCTTAAAGCATCAATTTTCCAAGAACTGACAGCTACATCTCAAAAATGGGAGTATAAATTTTCCTGAAATTTTCAGGGATTAAGACAGTTGGTAGCTGAAGGATGCACCTAAGAGGATAGTGGCTAAAATACAGTATTTGTTTCTCTTAGGCAAATTTTTAAATTTATTATTATGGGAGGGGGTATGGGTAACCCACCCAACTGTGGAAAATGGCTGTAAAACATTGAAATTGATGATATAGCAGCCAAGTGGATATGGCATTTGCTTCTTGTTTTAAATGTTTAGTTTGTGCCTGGGGCACCCTAAGTCCACTCAGTTGACAAGGGGTCCTAATTTTACATTTGAAAAAATAAAGGCTGTGAAGTGCAGTGTTGGCCACAATGCCTTATTGTGTTCTGCATAAAGGCTTAGTTTACAGTGTGCTGTATCTGCAGTACGGTACTCCTAATGGTCCATCACTCCCACAGAACCCATTTTCAGCTCTGCAGAGGTGCAACAGCCTAAATAATTTTAGGATCTTAAGAATATTCTTGAATTTTTCAGTTTTATCTGAGAACTTAGTCTATGAACTTTTCTAAAATATACTGTAAAATTAAGAGGGTGAAGGCCATTGGTACCTGATAAATGGACTTAAGGGGATTAGTTACTTAAAACATTTTTGCAGTTTTAAAATTATTAGTCCCCTTTTCATAAGTCTGATTGGATTATTTTTCTTACAGAAGTTTTCCTGCTTGCTGATGTAAACATGAAGACGATTGTGAAGATTCCTCTCGAATATTCGAGTGTTTGTGTTACCCAAATAGTGTAACTGGTAATATACTTGTGCAGTGGGTAGTAATGTTGTATTCACCCAACACATAAAAAGGTAAGGACATGTGCCTAGTAATTGATCGTAGATGTGCAATTTTTTTTTTTATATGGTGTTATTAAATCATACCTGTGACATACAATAAGTGTAAAGGTTATTTTTTAAATGTCTAATTCTTCATAAATTTATGTGTCCTTGTACAGTATATACGGTATTTGTGTGAGGTCCTTAATACTGAGGAAATCTATCAGTTGCAGAAAATTTTCTCACAAACATTGCAGCTCACTTAGATTTACTATACTGTAGTATAAAAATGAATTGTTATTTGGTCTTAACAAAATTGCTCAGGGTTGGGAAATATTGGTGAGTGGTTTATACCCAGTAAAATATATTGATTTGAAGCCTTCAGTAAAGTGAAGAGGTATTCTTTATAACCATTATAAATTTTTTATCAATATTAAATGAAAAGTAAGTTATTGCTCTATCTTGCTACCAGTAACTTTTAGGTAAATTACATCCCATTTATAGATACAACTGCAGCTAAAAAAATCTAATTTATTTTTTAATACTGTACATTTGATTACATGTGAGAAGTGAACATGACCTGGCATCTCGGGGAAATTGATGATGTTCCTTTGCTGTTTATAAACTGGGATAGAATATTTGAAAGATATATCTTCAGTTTGATTTTGGGGTACAGTCCACCTCAGTATGTCCCAAGTCTCCTGTAAACTCTTGTAAGTTTGCAGGATTCACAGTTACTCAAGATCAGTAATTTAAAAATTGTAAGTTATTGTTTTATGTCGTTTCTTAATATGATGTGATCTTAAATGTTTTTTAAGTGATTTTATAATAGAGGTAAAAGGAATTTTTTTTTAGGCCATATGAAGGACATTCACCTATCCACGACAGACAATATGGCTTTATAATTGACAGATCTACTGGGCTCTAATTACCATAAGTACTGGACACATAAAAGATACTGTATAATGAACATAGGAAAAACATTAGATACGACTTGTATAGACTGTGAAAACATTCAACAAGGTGCTTCATTGGAGTCTGCTTAGTACACTCATTAGCTGTAATAGTATTACCAGAAAGACACACCAGTGGATCTCATTCTTCTTTCTTGATAGACAGTTAATGTAAATGGATTCTGCTCCAGTTGGGTTACTGCTAAGGCCTGATCTTATTCACCACATACATCATTGACTTAACTGATTGTACAGTATATCTTCTGAGGAGGAACTTTTCATGGTTCAAAGAGGTTGCAGCATGAATGATCAATTTAAAGTTACTCCATTTTCACCCAGACAGACTGCCAGGATAGGAGAAAGAAGCCATGAAATATATTACATTGAGAATGCACAGGTTCAGCTAAAAAGACCAGAAGGAACAACTTGGTTGTTATGGTTGACAGTACACTGTCATTTGAAGGTTTAAATGAGAGTCAACAAGGTGAACTAGATTGGTCTGAACTAGTTGTCTTTCACTCTTTGATGTAGAACAGATAGTCACACATCAAAATGTGCTAATTTTAGAGCAAACTTTATACAAATTAAGCTAAATAAGTTATTATGTACTGTACAGTTACATAGCTCTTGAGTATATAAAGTAGTAGTGCTAGAGCCATCCATACTAAGTGTATGTAAATGCAGGATGGTATGCAGATACTGTTTGGCATTCCACACAGTGAAATACATGCAAACAATTTTAAGAATTAAGAAAGGCAGTGAAGCTGGTTCTCAGGTTAAGGAACTTGATCTATAAAGACTGTCTTGGAAAGCTCAAGATTCCAACCACAGTGTACCATGGAATATGTGGGAATATTAATAATAAGTTTCAAGATAATGCAAAATACAAATGAAGAAAAGTGCCTTGAGATTTAAACCACACAAGAGCATTACAATAGGGTCTTTTAAGCTGCACAGACCAGACTGAGGCATAACTACCCTGTAATAATAATACCCTGTGTGTATTGTAGAAGTATGGAACAGCCCACTTGAATCAATTGTCACATCTCCAAACGTGCTAACATTCAAGAGATGATTTATGAGAATAAGGATTTTTAAGATACAGTACAGTATTTTATATAATTACATAGCCCTGAGTATATATATTAGTGTCACTAGTCTGCCTGATTTACTACTAATTATTGTCCTGCATTGAGATGAAAATCTAAATATACAGGAATAATGTCTGTCCGTAATACATACAAGCAGAAGCTGATAAAGATAGGCAGAATATAGCATGTATGATCACAGTATTTATATTATGCAAATAAGGTAATTAACATTTCCATGTGTACTCTCATCATCTTTTGTTATCAAATGGAAAATTTCAAATGGTAGAAACCATTGTATAAAGTTAATTTTAAAAGTAGAATACTAATGTAACAACATCACATGGAAGGAAAGTCTGATTACAGTACTCTTAATTCTAGCCACTCTGTACCATAGCTGCATAGGACTTACAAGAGCAAAAATTTAGTATTTTGGAGTACATTTTGTCTTATTAATGAAAATAAATTAACATGCAAGGGCAATTCATTATTCAAAATGAATTTCTGCCATGGAAGAGTAACTTCAAAATTCAAATAGGCCTGAGGCATCTGGTTTTGCGAAGAATATAGTAATCATGGGGCTTGAGGGAATACAAGTGAGTCATTAGCCATTCTCCTGCTCACTGGAAACCTGGATTGTTCAGTTTTGTGAGGCAAGTATTGTTTTGGCTATTTAACTTCTTTTTTGGTCTGTGGTTTTGACTATTTTGACCTCAGGTTTTATCAGGAAAGTGTCACAGTTGTCACACTATTTTTTACCTATGATAAACACATTTTCATTTACAGTGGAATTTAAAATAAATTTGGATAACATGTTTAGTGTTTAAAACATTATAAAAGATGGTACCCCTGTGGTAGAAATATTGGATTAGTTTGCTAATCATTCTGTTGCACATGGAGATGCTTTGCCAGCTTATATAGGTTAATGGAAAGTACAAACATCGAGCTGTAGTTTCTACAGGCTTTAGAGCAAGTAGGATTTTAACCAGAGCCTTCATGTGTACAAATTATTGAACTGAAACTTCATATGGAATCCATTTTTGTGCAAAGTTTGCAGAGAGATTTCATTTCATTATTAAATTTAAAAGAAATGTTTATGGTGAGTATCATTAGCTACATATGAGGTAAACATACACCAGTATTGTACAGTACAGTATATTCATAAAATAAGAGAATTTATTACCATGTCCTACAGATTTTTTTTTATAGAGGTACAGCATTACACTCACTTTCTATACAGTACACTTGGAATAGATATCTGCAATAGAAGAAAACTATTTTCTCTAATCTGTCATTTAGATGTGAGTAATTCATAATTAAATAAATGAACTGAACCAGAACATATTCAGTGGCCATTAAAAATTTTTATGACTTAACTTTTCCCAGACATTTCTAGGAGTTAAAAGGTCTGATGATAAAGAAAGTTATTAGCAACTTGTGGACCATGTCAGTTTCCTCAATTGTATCATCACATTATTTATGATGGGAGTTAAATTTTAACAGATATTAATAATAAAACAGTACCAGCATCCTCTTTATGAAACTTGGTTTATGTGTGTGGCAATTTAGATGTTGGTTTCTCTTTCATCGAGGTATGGCATACATTTAACATTTTAGTTCATGTGGAAGCAGTTCATGAATACAAGTGGGATGGGTGTCTCAATTTCTATGGTATTTTTTAGAAGAATCACATACTTGTGTTGATGTCAATTGTCATAAGTACAGTATATGATTAACCAACTCGGCTTATATTGTCAATCTCAACAATATGACAAGAACATCTTTGGTTGTTCAATGGTAATATTTTCTACAGGATATTTTACAATTATGTGTAATTGTAAATGTTGCCCCTTATATTTTATTTAGTTTTTGTGATATACATTTGGGTTAAATATAGGCAATTCATTTAGTCATTGTAACTATTCACATCTCTGTAACTATACACTGTGTACACATTTATTATAAGCTCACATATTTATGCAAAACACATCATAATATCATTACACTGATATTCACCTGAGGAATTCTCAAATAAGGTCAAGTGTAGCCCATGTATCCCAGCACGTGCCTCTTGGAGGTGGATGATGCATGGGGACATTGAAGGTTAGATGAGTAGTGTAGGGTAATGTGGCAGTGATCGGTTTTGTGGGAAAGGTTCCAAAAATTATTTTATCATTCTATCCTTACTCAACTTCATACTCTCGCCTCACAATTATTATAATAATGATCTCTTGCTCTTCCACTGTGCATACGTCATCAAACTCAGTCTCCCACGTTGATTAAGGTCTTGTTATTACAAATTATATTGTGTATGGAGCTATTTCTTCTTTAATGTAATTAAATTTCAACTGTTATGTCACACAGTGTCATAAAACAAGATACATGTTTAGCTACTTTTGGCTCCATTATTGTGCCTGCCCAGCTCGTCTGTAAGTAACATGTCACTGCTTTAACCAGTTATGAGGAAAGAATAATGGCTTCTGAATTACTATTGAAGATCTTATTAGTGTCCCTTTTATAATATATAACTAGTCACACTGGTATGGAGTGTTGTGCCATTTATCAGCTGAGACACCACCTTGAACATAGTATAACCAACACAGGTTCTTGTGGTGCCTTCAGAGGTAAGCTACCCATATCATCTTCCTCTGCTCATGAAAAATGTTCCCTTGATTAAGAACTCATGCAAACAAAATTATGTGAATATAAAGTATGTCAAACAGCAGCAGACTTGTTTGAAATGTAATTCCTCTACTATTTTTTCCCAGAACATTTTCACAGGTTCTGGATTAACATCTCCAATTCTTCCTTACCGACTCTTCTAACTTGTTTGTAGTAAATTCATTTACAGTTCCCTTCAATATAAAATATGATTATTTTTTTTTTTTTAATACAGTTATCCCTCACTCTATGAATATTCTATTCTCACTACAGTACTGGGGATATGAAAGCTATTCTTTCTTATAAAAATATGGACCTTAAGGTAGTGTACAAGAGGTCCTTGCCATACGTTGTGCCAGCATATGCCATTTCACATACTAATTGTCACTAACCATTACGTATAGGAAGAAATTTTCATGATACGTCAATTGTTTCACGTGTGTTGCCTGCATCGTCCACTGTTTTATACCAAGTCTGTGTGTACCCGAATATGACGTACAAAACATTGTTAAAAACATCTAATACAGTAGTCATCTCTCTGTTACCTGGAATCTTTAATCCCAGGGAACTCTCCAAGAGCTGGATTTTTTTTTACCGAGAAATTTTGGGAAAAATCTCTCCATTACGGGCATGGGAACGAGTTTCCGAGGATGAAATCGTGTGCATTTCCTGAAATTTTGTAAGAAAATCTCTGTTCCAGGCACGGTTACAAATTTTTGAGAGATTGCATCATGTTTCTGACAAGGGAACGCATGCCGGGCGCATGGGTGGGTAGGCTTAGAGTGCTTGTGAGCAACTCTTAGTTCATTGTTTGCTGCCAGTGTACGAGCTTGATCACTGCTGTTTTTGCACATGATCTGTGCTGTGCAGTACTGTACATTACTGTTTCTGCTCATAATCAGCCAAGTATACCATTAAAGTAGTGTTAAGACAGAAAAAGTTGTTTTATAGTTATGTATGAGTATACCTGTACTGTACATTCAGATATGTACAGTAATGTACATATCAGAGTGGATAGCATATGCTAGTGTGTAGAGGTGCATGTACAGTAGCTAAAACAACTATCTGTGAATACTTTGTGGGAAACAATACGAGACCATGGACGATAAATTTTGGTATATGAGGGCTGTCAGTAGTCACTTGTAAAATTTCAGAGCATATCGACCCCCAACAGTACAGATAGTTGTTTTAGCTACTGTACAATCCCTCTTTCATGGAGGGAGAGAAGAGTGACAGTTATCAACTCCTGCTACAGGAGATGGTACAGGACAAAGGCAGGCCATCCTGTATCATCATGTCACTATTTGGCCTGCTTGCATGCATTGCTCAAGACAACAGCATTTGCTGGTGAGTACAGTATGTTATACATATATAGTAGTATATTTTGTTTATTTACAATATATTGTATGTGTCCAGTGGCGTTTGCACAAATAAATACAGCTCTCTGACTGTCCTTGCGAGATGCATAGTTTAGACTCTTGGAAAAGTTTCCCCAGTACAGTACCCAGAAAATTTCTGGGGATGAGAAAATTTGTCTACCTAGAAATCTCTCAATACTGGAACTGCTCTGCACCAATTATTCTGGCTAATAGAGGTATCAATGTAAACATAATAATAAGTAATAAAATAGTACTATAAGAGTTAAATTTCTACCACCAAAATACGTCAGTCACCTCTGACATGACTTTGCATTATATGCAAGTGCGGTAACTACAGAATTTTCAGAAATGTCTTTCAATGTACTAGTGTGCCTTATGAATAAAAAATACTGTACTGTATGCTGTACAGTAATATAAAGAAATAAGAGTGTAGAGGTATTTTCTGTGTAGAAGAATATCGAGTCATTGGGGAACCTAATCCATTCATATAGTGAGGGATACCTGTAATGTACCCCAGGAACTGAAGTACCACTGGCACTCTATTATGCATCTGTTCTTTTTAAATTGCTTAGTTTTATTTCAGAATGTTGTAATTTTGAAATTTCCACAGAACTGACATATTCCTTATCTAACTGTCCTAAACACACAAGAAAATGGCCAGAAAGAAAAAAGAGGTACCTCAAGATTCAATCTATTTAATTTGCTTAACACAAACATTTTACACATCTTAGTCAATTCAAGAACCTTGTCCTGAATACAGTATATCAGAGCAAGTCCAACAAAATATTTAATACAAATTCAGTCACACCATTCCACAAGGTAATTTTTCAAATTTATTTTCTCAAATACAATGGAATTTAATGGTACTTTCAGAACTGTTTTGTAAAACTTATATCAACTTTAAAGCATAAAATCTGCCACTTGATTAAACCTCTGTTATTCTCTTCAGAATGTGAACTACCATTTTAAACTATGTTGGTGCAATCTAACAAAATTTTTTTTTGGCTTTATGACTGTACAGAAGTAAAATTAGAAATGCATGCTTTACTGCAGCTAGATAACTTCAATAGCCCATAGGTGTTCTTGACCCTAAGTGTTATCTCTTACCCTTGTCATCTCGGTATTGGATTTCAATATGAGAAAATCTCAATGACTTCTTGACTCCACTAGGTATTGTTGTCACACTACCTTGACATGGATCTCAGAAAAAAATAATGGTACAGCGCATTTAAAGAATTCATGTTACAACCCCATGGTGAAAGTTGAGTGGGATAAGCAAGAAAAAGCCCCAAGTGGGAATAAATGAAGGGTGCAAGGCATAGCAACCCTGGTTAAGTTAAAGGGATAACATGATCCTACCTTGCTAGGTGAGAGCACTTGGAAGTTCTACATATAAGCCCATTTTTTATAAACATTCAGGGCAGTAAGTCCAAAGATGAATCCCAAACGTTGGGTTACTTATCGATGTTCAGGATTCCTCTTCGGAATTTCTGTCCCAAATGCTTAAAAAAACGGGCGATAATGTCAAATTCCTTATCTGTAAAAGTGGGTTGCCGATAGTAAGGGCATCCAGCCATAAAACTAGCTTCAAATTTACCTGATGGCAACTACGATACCATGCCATCAGGTAATCACAGCTAACTCGCACAAGCATGGATAATGGCTATAAAAGGTGTTGATGATGGGCATGGATATACCTGTACTGTAAAACTAACCTCTTATCCAACAGTCCTTTCTCCAACTTCATATTTACAATTCTACCATTTCTGGCCACTGGTAGCTCTGTAGAAAAATTTATATTAGGTACTTGAAAACTGGGGGGTGAAAAGCTCTAACAAATATAAGCATTACTTCTAAAAGAGCATTGGCAAAATGAAAGTGAATCAGAATCATTACACTTATTCCCTTCGCGACAGGGACGTCACTTTTAAAATTTTATGTGACAAATGCCATTCGATTTTATTTAGCTTAGAGGGGAGCCCAGACACAAGGGGGTTAAAAACTGCTCTTGGAGATCCCTGATTTGGCAACACAACCAGCACTTAGCTGTATAAAAACATTTGATTTTTGTTAGACTATTACTTATGGCTGACAAAATGTAAAAATTTCCTACAGAGGATACATACTTCAAACTAGGATTTGTTATGCTGAAGTAACATGCAATTTATAACTACAGTACATGGCCTCTGTGCTTGCTGTCACTTGTCAGAAATTCACTAAATGTGCATCAGTTCTTAAGACTTGCTCTTTTACAATGGCAGATGTTTTCACTAACACTACCGTGACTACATTTGGGATTTATTTTTGTGAGAAATGGCTAAATAATATTTGCTTAATTATTACACCTACCCCGGTAACAATCAGGCACTTAAATTACAAGCATGGCAATTAGGGATGAAAATAAATAACATCATTATTCTTTAACAAAACTGTAAGTTAATACTGTACATGAAAAAAAAAGGCTTACGACTAAGCACAGTCCACAATATAATTTGAATTCTGATAACAATAACAAATTAAGTACAAAATATCGTGTTATGATTGTAACATTTATAAAAGTGACATATCTAGTATTAACAATGAAATTCATGATAACTAACTGTGAGAAATTGTTGATTGGCAATTTGCTGTCAACCTTGCAGCTGCCGTATGATTTGCACAATTTCTTATTGCATAGACATGGCATTTTGTTTTAAGTCTTTTAACACAAAAACATAAATTATGTACATGCAGGGAACCACTCAAGTTCAAGAGTGTTGCACATGACAACAGACATGAGAGATGGGATTATTTATTGATATTTTTTTTTACCAAGGTGTATGTTGACACTGGTTTTGAATAACTGTATAGTTGTCCCTCTTTAATGCCGAATTTGCAGGAACACAAATTGCATTTTAAAAACAAAATTTCTCAAATACAATGATTGTTCATAAAAAGCGGTTGTGCACATTGAATACTTCAGCTGTGACGAATTAAAACAATTCTCCAGAAAGCCTTGAAAATTTAAAATTTTTGTCAGTATGAGGAGAATCTTCAACAGCTGACAGTTTGCTGGTGAGTGTCACTTCGATAAGTTTAAGAGGAGGCAGCCTCTTCACCCTGATGCTCTTTTTCATGGTAACATTGTCTACCCAGTGGTTACTTCAAGAGAGATAGAAAAGTTAAGCCATCAGTGTGATTTTTGGAAACCCTAAACTATCTGAGGTTTCTTTGAGAACACTCATGCTGTGTGATATAAAGCAACCAGCATGACAATGAATGGAGTTTGAAAGGTAGTATGGAGGGATTGTGTTTACAATTTAGTAAGTTTTGACATAGACAAGATGCTGTTGTAGCCCACATAACCTGGGATAGAACAATGAAAGTGTTTTCAACAAAGTTGTTTTTGATTCGAGTACATTATGGCATTTAATACACTACTGACTGTACTCTGCACAAATTTGTTTGGAGTACAATATCTTTTACATTTTGTATGCGTAAATTTGTTGAAGTGAAAGGAAATACAGTGAACCCTCACTTTACGCAGTCAATTGAACCCACGGCGGCCCGCGTAAAAGTGAGAAACGTGTAAAGTGAACAACATAACATATGGGATTAATTGAAATAGAGACCGGGCCGACCCCCAAACTCCACTTTTTCAGACACAATACCTACGTTGTAGTAAAAATAACTTCTTAATTTTATG